AACATGTTGTAACCTGTTTTTCCGAGCCACCTTTAAACATAACATGAGCGCTACGACGCTCGCGCTGGGTTTCCACCTGTGAAGGAGACCTGCTGCTGCTCTGCAGAGCTACACTGTGAAAAAACTGTGAAAAGTTCACAAACTAACCGACTGAGTTGAGTAAAGCTGTTGGATGCAGGTAAAGTTAGCTAAAAGATGACTAGCTAATATCAATACAGCACCTTAAGCTTGTTAACAAGTAGCCTGTAGGCTACTGGTGTTGTCTGTGTTCAGCTACGATTCATTTTGCCCCCCAAAAAGTTGATCCCTCCCCCCACCCCCTGTTCGTCTGGAGCCGGGGCTGAGTATGACAGGGAGTCTCTAAGAATCCACCCCCTACCCCCTTCGCTCACACACATCGTTCAACCAGACAGCTATTTGTAAGCCATAGTGGGGGCCCAGAAATGGTGTGGAAACCACTGGGGGGGCCCAGGAGAAAAAGTTTGGGAACCACTGAGTTAAGGCTTTATTTTCTTCTCACGGACGGGTTATTTTTGAATGATCTTGTGTTTGTCAGGTTCTGAATCGTTACATGTCCACACCGCTGATCTCCACGCTGCCTCCATCACCCATCGTACCGCTTCCAGTCCTCTCCACGCCTCCCTTCCTGCCGACGGCCAGCAGCACGCGCGACTGCGTGCGGCTCCGCGGGCTGCCGTACACCGCCGGCATCGAGGACATCCTGGAGTTCATGGGCGACCATACGGTTGACATAAAGACTCATGGAGTCCACATGGTCCTTAACCAGCAGGTCAGAGTTCTGTGACGCACGTGAAAAACTTTTTAAAGCTGTGGTATCACAGTCAAGTGCTTTTTAAAAAAATAAAATCTGGTTTATCTCTCTGCCTTCTGTGTTCTGACGGTTTTGGTGATTTTCTCCTTTACAGAGCCGACCTTCTGGCGACGCCTTCATCCAAATGAAGTCACCTGACAAGGCGTTCTTGGTGGCCCAGAAGTGCCACAAAAAGACAATGAAGGACCGATATGTTGAGGTCTTCCAGTGCTCCACAGAGGAGATGAGCATTGTTCTGATGGGAGGAACGCTGAACCGCAGCGGCCTCTCTCCTCCACCCTGCAAACTTCCCTGTGAGTTTCTCCCCCCTTTGCGAATTGCAGTATTTTATTGATTATCTGTAATTCATAGGGAAAGGAATTGATAAGAATTCAGCTATTCCGTTTCCATTATTGCTCACATATTGATTTGATTTCTTATTAATTCTCATTGAGTTAGAAAATAAAGTCATTAATTCAAAATATGCACCAAGTTGTATTGGATTCAAACAACATTAAAGTTTGCTTTAAAAAGTAACAATCTCTCTGTCAAATGAAGGTTTTAAGTGAAACGTTTTGCATGTTTACCTTTTCAGAAAGGATCTTTCATGACTTAACGTGTCTCCAATTGTGAAAAACACAATTTCAGATGTTACTATTTGTTTTCACTTCTGTCATTTCCTACTCCCTGCCTGGATGAAAGAGGCAGCTAAAAGTTTGAGAGCTCTGGCTGTCCTCATCAACTATAGTCATATTCAATAAATGAGAATATTGATGAAAAGCTCATGTATTTCAGTAACTCGGCTCACAAATTAAACACATTATAAGGATTAATACGACACAGACTGGTGTTTCTTACAGCTTTTATTTATGGGAGCGATGAAGATCTCGAATTCCTCAGTAATTCAGATAAAAAAAAACATAAAAATCCTAAGTTGACGTGACCTCACACTTGTGTGTTATGAGTCGTGTTCCTGGAGTTTGACTGTTTTGATAGTGTTTTGCAGACAAATATAAAAGAGTGCATCACATCACTACAGCCTGCTGGTAGAAACTTGTTTACTGCTTCAACAATAATGTGATTTTGATGAAGCAGAAAGCAGCTAACTGTACTTTGCTCGGTTGTGACTCATATCTGCCTTTACCGTAAGAGATTAGATTGGAAACCAAAATGACAAATTTTCTTTTGCATGTTTCTTGATAATAAGCTACAATTTAAAGCTGTTTAAAAGAGGTTTAGCTCTTCTGAATTTCATATATTATTACTTAGAATTGGAATTTAAGTCATTTTTCTTTTAAAGTAGATTTTATCTTGGCATACCTAGAATCGCTTCGGCCTTCACAGGGTCAGTGACCTGCCCACAGCCTCAAGCAAATGGAGGCTGTTTTTATGTAAATGTGTCAATACCTTCACTTCTCTGTTTATATTGCAAGTATAAGAGCTTAAAGGACGCTGTTAGTGTTGTAAATACAGTTCTACACGGATGTGAAGTTCCAGCATTCGTCGTATTTATAGTGAATACGGAACAAATGTCTCTGAAGCAAAACAAATGTTTGTGAAATTACCATTGACATACAGTGTCAAAGATTTTGAAACTTACTGCAACTTGTTGAACTTCCTTTTTTTATAGTCATGGTCGTCATTAGAAATGTCTCTGCACTAAGAGACGGTGAAAAACAAAATCTGTTTTTGAAGCAGGAACAACAAGAAATTCAAACTCTAAGCTAGTTGTCCTAGTTGTTAATGTTGGTGCTGTCCTCATGTTTCAGATCTTTTCAAACATCTCTTTGGACAAAAAGATGCAGTAAAGATGAAGGGCAGCGGCAGAGTTCTCTTTTTGAAATCTCAAACCGTCGGTAAAGTGGTGAAACGTGGGTGTGGTTCCACCTAACTCGATGTAAAGAGGATTGTCTGCATGCATAACAAGCATTCTGCTCTAGTAAAGACAAACGAAGAACAGAAATACTTTGACTTTTAAATACCAGTAAGGTCACTTTAAATCCGACTCGGAGCAATATGAATAATTGATGTTAAATTTGAAGAATAAGGTTTACCGATAACGAAAACTCAGTTTCTCAGAAAGTCTTTATATCCCAAATGCAAATAGTTACTCTAATTTCACGAGGACTTTGGAAAACATAACCGAAGCTTTTCTCTCCCCATCTAAGGAGAGACTCTCCTGACTCTGTCTCTGGTGAAGCAGCGTTTTCACAAACTGATCCATGTTCTGCATGCTGCTCTGCGGGGTTGTCTCTAAGCTGTCCTGTCCATGTCCGTCCTCCTGTAGGTCTGTCCCCTCCTACAGCATATGCTGCCTTCCCCACTTCGCCTGCCATCCTCTCTGAAGCGGCCCTGTACCAGCCCCCCCTGCTGGCGGCCCCCCGTGGCCCTCAGACTGCCGTGCACAGCCCTGCTCACGCTCTGGCCTACTACCCCCCTCAGCCGCATCTCTACATGAACATGAACATGAACTACACTGCTTACTACCCCAGGTAAAAAAAAACAAAACAAAACAAACAAAAAAAACAAAGCATATGTAAATGAAGCGCATGAAATAAGAAACACCTCGTTTATCTGACGCCTCTGTTCTCCCTCCAGCCCCCCGGTTTCTCCCTCCACTGTCGGCTACTTTGCGGCTCCACCGGGCGCCATGGCGGCTGCGGTGGCGGCTCCGGCCCACCCGGCGGCGGCCGCCGCCTCCTCCGTCCTGCCGCAGCCGGGCGCCCTGGTCAGGATGCAGGGTCTGCCGTACAACACCGGAGTCAAAGACATCCTCAGCTTCTTTCAGGGATATCAGGTGAGAACAAAGGCATAAACAGAAAAACCTCGTTTTAAGATTCATGCTCAGCAATTTTTATTTTAAATCAGAATCCTGCAGTTTTAGAACCTGGAAAAAAAAAAAAAAAAGATGACTGATTAGTTTATTTGGTTGACGATTTATTTTGCATCCTAGTTCTGCTGCACCACAAAAAAAAAGAAGTGATTTTTAGTTTTATTTCCCCAAATGCTGAACTTTTCACGCACTTTGCAACAACATGCAGTGGCGTTTTGCAAACTGCACTGTTTAATTAAGTTCCATGTGTTCACTTGTGCTCTCCCGCTCCTCTTTGCTGCAATACTTATTGCTGCCAGCCTGAATTAGGTGGAGTCCGCTGATGCAGGTATGAATCATGACAGGTGTCTTCACGTAGGAAAGCGGTGGGTTTGAGGCAGGGGGGCGGGTTCTGGTGCTGCTGGTTTTTTTTTTTTTGTTATTGGGGCAGATATCTTGGCTCTGCTGCTGGTCTTTCTTTCGTTCATTCACACCAACAAGGAAGCAATTTTAAGTTGCATTTGGAGAAATGTAGGTATGCTTTGTGTGTGTTTATTTTTTTATTTTTTATTTTTTTAAAGCTGATTGTCACCGTTTAATGAATTAATTGTTTTCTAGATTCTCTAGGTGATGTGTGTGTTTTCTGGCTCCATTGTTATTTCTCACACACAGGTCCTGAGAAAGAAAACTGTCTCCTTGTACAGATCCTCAGACTTTCAGCACTCTTATCTGTTTTTAAATGTCACCTTTCTGTATCTTTTTTTTTTTTTTTTGTGCGAGTGTAAAAATGTGCATTGTGATGTCTAACCCAATGTTGAGGCCCCTCCAGCCTGACCGTGTGTTCATCGTTGTACTGTATCTGTAGTACGGCCCTGACGAGTACAGCGGCTTGGTTCAGATGAACGAACAGGCCAGGAGTCTGATTCAGCCCAAAGAATGGCTCTGCCTTTAGGGCTCACCCCAAGGTAAGAGGAGCAGCGAGGCAGACGGAGATGGGGTGCTTCCTCCGCTCAGACAATCCTGGCGCATGACCACTAATCACCATTTAATCTGCAGAACTTTGCAAAAGTGTTCATACACCTGGAAATCAAGTTCGAGCCACAAACTTTAATGTTTTTCTTATGTACATTTAATGAGATAAATTGACACAAAGCAGCGTTTGCTTGTAACGTGGCACGGAAATAAAACGTCCACGAGTGAAACTATGAATCGTCTTACCTTTTGATTTTTATCATTTCTTTTATAGTGCAATTGCCTACAGTTGCCTTAGAAGATCATAAAGTTTGTAAAACATTTGAAGAAGTGACTGGAATAGTATTTAGCTGCAATATAAATTCAATACCAGATCAGGGTCAGTTTTGTTTGAAGGCGGTGGATTTATTGGGTTTATTGTTTCTTCTCTGCATACGGCTGTTCAGAGCCGACCTTTAGTTCGCTCATCATGCTCAGAGGTTGGTTTTCTTTAGCAGGAAGAGGAAAGTTTGTCGGTTCATATTCCAGACCTTTTTGAAAAAAATATTTTTGCAAAGCAAAGAGGGTGTTAAATTTTAGATATCACAATTATACACGCCTCAGGGTAAGGTTATAAAAAAAGTATCTAAAAAATACATTGAAGTTTGTGACTGAAGTGACAAAATGTAAAACTAAATGAGGTTCTGAATACTTTTGCAAGTCCCTTTATACATCTAACCTGTTCAGTGATCTGCAGTTCTGCATGCTTTCTAAATGCCTAGAAGCTCTGCTCTGTGCCCCGTTAATAAATGTGTTAATTCCATTTTCATCCTTAGCTCTTCGCCTGATTTGCATGAACACCGACTTGGTTTCAATGATCAAACCTCAGAATTTCTTAGTTAACAATTAGTCATTTCATTTTAACTTCCTCCTTTTTTACTAACACATCTCTATTAATCAAATCATTACCGGCCAGTAAGGAGCCTCAGTCCTGGTTTGAACCACTTTCTCAATTCCTGCCATGTTTCTAAATGAAAAATATCAATTCCATTTTCTAGCTATTTTATTCTCACTTTGTCATTTTGTTTATACCCACATCCCCTTAGTCACAGCTGCGTCGCAAAAATAGTGGACATGTTCAGGTGTTTTCTGGATTCAACCACCTGCTTTAGTAAGTTGCTAAATGTTTGAAAGGTTTATCAGACGTGAAGTACGGATTTGAAGTCGACACATTATTTTTAATTGAATTGGGGTCCTGCCGTCTTTTAGCTTCACATATTGACAGAAGTTTCAGTGTTTTATTAAGTTAAAACATTAGATTTCAGTTCAAAGAAGTGAAAAAAAACACGATATTTCACTCGAGCCTTTTCTTACGGATGTTGGCTATTTGTGTTGATTGTCTGATGCTTCCTTTTTACTCCCCATCCTCTTGGATTTTACTGCTTTATTTTTATTTTATTTTTTAAACGTTTTATTAAATTACCTGTTGTGTACGTTTGTTGTGTTTGAATTTGATCTCGGTGACAGACAGTGCATGTGAACTAACAGCTGCTTTTTGTGTGCGTCATCTCTGCCGGCCTCGTTGGTTTCAGGTGTGTGAGAACGGCATGTCCTCTGTTTTCATCCTCTGCTCTTTAATCTTTCTGCTTTTGTAACTGGACTGGTTTGATGGGCCCATCAAACGTGATTCCTCCTTAGCTTCACTGTGGGCGCCCTCTGGTGGTTTTCCCTTCACTTGCGTGACACTGAAGAAACTCACTGAATCTTTTTTTTTTCTTCTTTCTTTCTCTCCTCCTGCAGCTCCAACCAGACGCCGTGCTTATCTTGTATAACTTCAGCGGTCAGTGCAGCGGCGAGGCCTTGATCACCTTCCCCAACGAGGACACCGCCCGGCGCGCCGTAGCCGAGCGCTCAGGCCACCCTTTCTACGGCCAGCAGATCCACTTGGTTTTCTGTAACTGACCACCAGCTCTCCATCTTTCCTCCCCTTTCCAATAGAAACGCCTCCAAACTCTTTACAGAGAACCTGCCGAACTCTTCCCTCTCTCTGCACGATCTGTATTTTGATCACACACCTCTCCGCCGGCCCTCACACTCCTGAAGCTGCTGCTGCTGCTGCTGGAGCCGGGCCTTCCACAGTCGAAGCAGCCCGACGCTGGACTTTGTGACTTTGCTCCTGCTGGTGGGGAAGGAATGGCGTGAAGCCTGGACCGAGCAGGCAGCCACTCTGCAAAGCCAAACTTGGAGATAAATGTATTCTCTTTGAAACTGTACAGACCCGTCTCCTGAAATGCTTGAGGCTGTATATACATTTAAACACGTTTGTCTTTATTTTTCTGAACTGTAACGCTTTAACCACTTTCAGATTTAGAGTTTTGTGTTTATGAACATTTTTGTTGGCTGCAAAAAGAAATGTGTGGAGGCTAAATATTCTCCAGCAGCTTAGTTATGATGATGAAAACGTCTAAGCCATACGGACTACTTTATACTTCTGAATCAAAGTCAATCAGCATGCTAAAACTGTCATGATTTAAATTGTAGCTAGTGACTTTAAGCTTCAGGGAATATTAGTTTATACTACTGTGTGGCACATCTGTGTCAGTGTATGAATTGACCTGTGACTTTTTTTTTTTTTTTTTAAAGCATTTATTTTGTGACCACCAGCATGTCTCCACCTTTAAGTATTTTCTAAGCACTACAGATGTTTTCGGGTTGCTCCACTCGCAGAGATGCTACATCTTTAACAGTTTGACAGTAAATTATTTCTAGTTTCACTGATACTTATTTACAAAAGCTGAAACTTTATTAAATGTCAAAATGACTTAGTTTTTTTTCCCCCCTGTAGTCTTACATATTGATTGACCCATAGCAGCTGCTGCTTTGGTTTTTGTTTTCAGACTAAAACAGCCAGTCTGCACCATGATTTGGTTCCTGTGAACAATGACAGAACTGTGTAAAACTGCAGGAGCCTGTTGTTTTTTTTTTTTCTTCCTTCCTGTGAGAGGCCAACTGAATTGTCTTAGTTTTTTTTTTTCTCTTTACCAAGCATATATTACCCAGAGTGCAATACTGGCCCACAGGAGGCATAGGAGCCTCTGGTGGCAGATGAAAAATTTGTTTTGTTGTGACGTAAGGATGCATGAATTTAGGTCTATGTATAAAATGTAAACAATAAAAAATATCAACAAATAAACATGCGTCAGTCGTTTACTGTATTGGGGACACTGAACTATTCAAAGTCCTGCTGGAAAATGATTTCAGCATCTTCATAAAGCTCGTCAGCAAAAGGAAGCGTTGTAAACTTTACAGGTATATGGCTGTCCAGGCGCTGACTTTGGGTTTGAGAAATGAGTTAGCGCCACTCGCATCCTAGGACCTTGATTTCAAAAATTAGATTTAATCTGAAAAAAAGTACTTAAAATGCTTTTATTTTTTTAATCCAGGTAAGGATGCTTCTCATTCTTACCTGGAAGAATCTGGCTCAGGAACGATTTAGGACAAGGAATGTGAAAGTTATGTCCTCTCATTGTGTTTGTCAGCTTGTTTATTCTTCCTTTTCTGACATATTGGTGTTTGTGCAGTTATACCTACATTTTCTCCCTCCACTCAACTTTACATTAATTCGCTGGGATTACGCACTCTGAGCAACCAGCTTCTAGCAATGACACTTTGACTACTTGTAGAACGTGTCGAAACAACTCTGCTGGACAACTGCCAAGATGATAAATATTTTATCATCTTTCCCATGATGATAAAATATTTCTGTGTTATAAACTTGTTTTGGTGTTGGGCAATATTCCACTTTTCTGAGAAAGTTTTCAGTGTGAGGAAATCTATAAATTTTGTTCAGGCAAGTTTTTTCTGTCGAGCAAGAATTAAAAAGTTGTAAATCAGATTTGCATTAGTTGGTTTTGAGCTGATGCGGGTAGAGAAGAACCCAAAAGAACAACACTACTTTAGCATTTTTACTCGAGCAAATGAGTAATGAGGAAATTACTTGAGTAAAAAAGCGACCCAAGTACAGAATAACTGACCATAAAATCTGATTTAATGTTTAAAAATGATGCCAGTTATGTGCAAATTTGGGCATTTTAATGACTAAAGTAAAACATGCAAATAATTCAACAAAATCAGGATGAAGAAATTGTGTTGTAAAGAAAAAGGGTGAAACAAAATCTGCTTTCAGGAAAACAGCAATGCAAAGCCATGAGTGAGTTTTCAGTTTTATTGAGATACACTACGTTAGAGCCTACAGTATGATGCAAGGTATCATTCCCTTTGAATAATTTCAGAAAAAAAGCACTGCAGTCTTAAAAATTACAAAACATTTAACATACAAAATATACAAGAAATGACAATACAAGGCTTGGTAAACATCAGCTAAAACCTGTATTTCCCTTTTATTTTACAAAGTTATATATATATATATATCAATATATCTTCATATATTGATATATATATAGTTTCAACAGACACCTATTAATGTCCTTAACCTCTTAGGAATGACATCCATATCCATTTGAAAGTATCAAAAATAGAGTTGTACAGTCTTTGCAGCCTTATCGTCTAAAATAGGAACAAATTGTTCGATCTTTGGTTGTGGCAGAAAAGGACAGCAGCCGGAGTTCAGAGTTTATTGTCGATGCTGGTTTTGTTTCGTTGTTTGTGTGTGTTGTGGTCTCACAAGCTGCAGAATTGACTTTAATGCAAACATTTCTCTCTGTTCTCCCACCCAACCCGCTTGGTTGACCCTGTGAACCTGAAATGTACAACATTGATAACTGTTATTGATCAGTCTCAGTCATTTTGGAGAAGGGGGGGAGAGGGGGAATTCAGACCAACCGGTTCACAAACAGGAGTTAAGGCATCCTACATAGTTCACGCAACATGATGATCGTCTTCTGAGAGTTTCTGCTTTTCTATGTGAAGTCCAAAAGCATTTTACCTCACATTTGCTGCTGTTATAGTGTGCATAGCCTGAACGTGTGTGCTTTTGTTGTTGAAAAGTTGTCATATATACAAGAAATTTGGTTCAAGCAGCTACCATCCATCCTCAAACACAACTGAATTAAGATGCTTACGCTGTGTCCTCCATTCAAGCATCTGAGTCTACAGAGTCTACAATCTACTTCTAGAGGCATCGAGGTAAAAAATTTTTGTCTTTTTTTTTAAATTATTTTTAAAGGCATTAAGCAGAATATCAATGCATAGCAGAATCATTTTCACCTGGAAACTGACTTCAAACCACCGTCAATCTTAAGGCAAAAAAAAAAAGTCAGTGGAAATCATCAAACCAGCATCTGGATCAGTGTCAGTCTGCTCTTTCCTGGAGGATGACTTATTGCTGCAGTGCAGCCATTGCACATTTGTGCGAGTCGGGGGGGAGAGAAAAAAAAAATAAAATACAGGAACAAATCAATGAGCATTCTGGAAACAATTTAAGAGAACTCTGATTGTAGACAGCAGACGTCGATTGTTTCAAGCAGAAAAGGTTTGGAAGACCCCAAAATGTCCAGATTTTGCTGTCTGGATTCTAGGATTTTACGTTGTTCTTTACAAATGAGGACATTACATAAATACAACATACAGACCACTTTATATATAAAATACTTTCATAATTTTTGTCAGAACATTTTCCATCGAAGCCCAAGTCGGCTGTCATTTGAAAACATGGTGCATTAGGAAATCGAAGGCACATTTGAGAGGAGAATAGTTTTAGTGGCAGAAAGCTCCATTTCTGAGGACCAACTAGAAACCCTCTATGAATTGTCAAAAGAAAAAAAAAACACTAAATAACCTTACTGTGAAATCATAAATCCAAAAGAAGCTCATCTGTTTCTAAAAACAAGCACTCTTCAGTCTTAAAGTCTGGTGAGAAAACAAACAAACAAAAAAGCTTGTGCTACAGTTCGGATTTGCTAAACATTAATAAGGCATTTGTTCAAAGAAGCAAAGGAAAAACTGAAAGCTCTAACAGAAGAAACGGGGTTTATTACTGTACAGATACCCACACAGCTGCAAGTCTGTGGAATGTTGCATTTTGCAGAAGGAAAACAAGCTGCTGACCTCCAACACCGTGACCGCATCAGTCTTTTAGGGGGAAGACATTCAGCTTTGGTGGGTTCACAAAAAAATGCTAAAGAGAAGATCATTATGCATATTTATAGAGAGA